ATTGTTTGGAGACAGATTATGTCTTACATTCTTATAAAAAGAGGTCTCCAAAGAGTAGGCAGTTGTACTAAGTAATAAATAATGCTGTAATATTGCTAAATCATAGTATATATAGTTAAGGTTTGACATTTTATGTCATTTTTAAATATATATAGCATTAATTGGTTTTATATATATATGTGATTGAAAGAATTTTTCAACATTCCAAAAAAAAAATTCCAGTTGAAACCTACATTTGATCCCAGTTCCAACAAATCTTCAATCAAAACATTTCTTTCAATGACCAACAATGTAGTCCCAACCAGGGAACAAATGACACAATATTACTAAACAATGCAAAATATTACAAAATTGGCAGATGATCCATAAGTTATCATGCGTTCAGCAGATAAAGGTGGTGGTATCATTATCATGGACTATACATACTATGCAAGCGAATTGAGGGGACAACTATTGGATCACAGTATCTACCGACCACTGGATTGGAACCCCACTGGAGAGGAGCAGAATAAAATCAAGGACACATTGTCTATGGCGTTGAGAGCAGGATATATAGATTTGAAGTTGTATCAATATCTATCTAAAAAACATCCACGCACCCCAATTATTTACACAATACCGCAGATACACAAAGATCCCAGTGAACCACCTGGATGTCCCATAGTATCAGTAATCAATAAAATATTAGATCACTTATTCCAAGGACTTGTTGACAAATTACATACATGTATAAAGGACACTCAGGCGTTACTTAGTACAATTACTGTGACAGAACCATCTGCCTGCCTATTGTGGTAGATTCGTCTATTTCTGTCCCCTTTTGTGTAAATGGCTGTTTCTATAGCCCAGCCATACGAATGACTGTTTTTTCCTGAACAAACCTACTGAACGGACGGCCACCCAAGAGAGAAGTGTGCTGCTGGTTAACCTATTGATCCCAATTAGAACGTTGTGGTTAACCGCAGACACTTCTCAATTAAACGAATTCAGGGTGGTCGTCGTTCGTATGTCGACCACGAGGCAGCGGCCATTTTAAACCACGCGAAAGCCCAGCGGTGTTTGGCTCTATTTCTATTGAACTAAAAACGGACACTTTTTCTGCCGAACACCGCTGAAACAACGGAACGCCTGGCTGCCTCCACGAAAGCATGCAAATACCAGGTTTGAAGCATACGAAAGGACTTAACCCAGATAGCCTTCCGATGGAGTCATTCGTATACCGAAGGACTGTAAGAACGTTGACTCCATGGCGATTGAACTATGTGTGTGGGATCTGAGCACTATTCGCTAATAATATTGTAACGAGCGCTTACCTTTCCCCGCTGGTCCCGTGCAGCGCCGGGTCCTCCTCCAATACTTCCGGGGGGCGGCTCAGCTCTTCTGACGCCGGCCGCGCGGAACACGCCCACCTTTATGACGCGGCGCATGCGCGCCGACGTCAGAAAGAAAATGCCGCCAAAATTCAAACGTGGCCACGCTCCCGGACTTTTTGGGGGCGTGGCTTCAAAATTAAAGCCAAAGAACCCACACTATAAAAGGGCTATCATGACACTTGGTGCTATTATCACTGCTTGTCCTTCTTGGTATTTGACCCTTGGCTATCTCTCTGACTATTCTGTTTTCTGGTTTCCCGTTACTTGGCTTGGATAATCGTGTGCCCGTCTTCCGTATTCCCTTGACTTCTGGCTATTCCTTTAACTATTCTCAGACGCTAGTCCGGCCATTCTAAGGTCCGGTAACCGTCTTTCTGTGGGTTTCACGCTGTGTGAAGGGGTCACTGTTGTGACATTGGTCACTGTCATGATAAATATGCACTCAGATCCATGCACATGCTTTTCAATGCTTTCCTATGGGGAATTGAGCGATGCTGGAGGTCCTCACACAGCGTGAGGACGTCCAGCGACGCTCTAGCACAGGTTTCCTGTGCTAAGGACACGGAAGTGCCCTCTAGTGGCTGTCTAGTAGACAGCTACTAGAGGTGGAGTTAACCCTGCAAGGTAATTATTGCAGTTTAGAAAAAACTGCAATAATTACACTTGCAGGGTTAAGAGTAGTGGGAGTTTGCACCCAGACCACTCCAATGGGCAGAAGTGGTCTGGGTGCCTACAGTGTCCCTTTAACCAACTTTCCATGCCAATTAAATTTACAGCGAATATCAATACGGAGTAAGTGCAATATTTGGATCTACATATTTCTTTGGGACTTTCTAAGATCCAACATACATTGTATACTAAACCTACAGATTGCAACACACTCCTCCACTATCATAGTGCACATCCCATGGTACTAAAAAACTAACTCCACAAGGCACAATTTTTGAGGGTGATTAGAAACAATTCGAAAGAAGAACTAATGAAGCAACAATTAGGGGAAAAGACAGAGATATTCTTAAAGAGGTGATATGATTGCCACATCCTACAAAAAGCGTTAGAAGATGCACAGAGTGCACGTGCAAACAAGGAGATGAACAATCCAGCAAAACTAGTTTTCCTTATGATGTTCCACCAATCAACCCACAAGTCTCAACAATTGTCAGTAAAAACCGGAGGATATTATCCAGTGATGACACGCTCCCTAAAGTTTTTAAAGAGTGTCCTCTAATATGTTTTAAGAAAAATACAAATCTAAAGAACATAACAGTGCACACCGATCCAGTCAAAAGTTATACACAACAGACAAGAGAGCAGACCAGGGGATCCATACAGTGCCTGAAATGTGTCACATGTGGACTTTTGACGCTAGCCAAAACATTCTACCATCTTCTTAATAACAAGGTATACCAGATAAGACCACACATTTAATACATAAGCTTACCATACATTGGGAAGAAAGAAACTGCTTTATGTGAACGCATTAGAGGCCATCGGTCCAGCATTAGACTGGCATATAGGGATGGACGTTTGGACAAGCCAGTCACAAAGCACTTTCTGGAATTTAAACATCCTCAAACCACATTAAAGTTCTTGGGCATAGATCATATACCCATACCAAAGAGAGGAGGTAAACGTGGAAAGATGCTCCTGAATAAGGAGGCATACTGGATCCACAAATTAAACACAGTATCCCAGAGAGGAAGAGATTGCTCGTGCATGCGCATGGGATCCGGCAGGTCACTGATCTCAACGCTCTGCACCTGGGGTAAGTCAATAATCTCATCTATTTCACCTATAAATACCTGTAATGTATGTTGTTTGTATAATTATGATCCTGAAGAAAGTCCCTAATTTGTACTGAAACGTTGATCTTGCTTTTAACAATTTTGGTATAAAAGTTACATTTTTCTTAAGACTGTGAGTGCAGCCGTCTTCATTCAGCATATGGATACTGAAGCCCTGGTATTGCTCCCAGCCACTTAACTTACTTACAGCCTGAGTGCAAGGATCTACAGAAAGATAGATAGATAGATAGATAGATAGATAGATAGATATTGTTCATATTTATTATGTCATTGTACAGCATGTACCCATCTGTGTTGGTGGGATCAGGTGAGTACACTGCCTGTCTCATGTATATAATATAGGTTCCACCTGCCACACATGCACTTACATTTCCTGCCACCCAGGTATCAACCTTCATAGCCGGCACACCTATCTGCTCATATCTCTGGAGTAATTATTATGCCATTCTGCTTGATTTTCTTAAGTGTTTTCTATGCTGGTCTGTCTCCCCAATGCCCCAAAAATGTTTAGCTTTTTTCAAATATAACTATTTTTCATACTTAGTTCTCCTTAGGCCATTCCTCCACAGCTGACAGCACTTCCTATCACGAGAGGCGGAAGGATGTCAGTGAGGACAAATGAGAGGAGGACTGGCTGTCTCCAATATGTTATTAATACATGTGTCAGATGTTTTCTCTCCAACCTCTCAGCACTTTAACCAGTAAGGAACATGGGATGGATCTGGAGGACACAGTTACAAGACAGGTTATCCCTGCTCTATATGCACTGTGTGTTAAGGATGTGCATGGGAAAAATATTCAGTTTGGCATTCCGAAATTTGTGACTTCGGCACTTCGGGACTTCAGCACCACTTCAGTTCGGTTCGGCACTTCGGAACTTCAGCACTTCGGCACTTTGGGACTTTGGAACTTTGGGACTTCGGCCCTTTGGGACTTTAGGACTTCAAATAAGTGTAGGGTTAGGGTAGAGTTAGGGTTAGGGGTAGGGTTAGGTTAGGTGTAGGATTAGAGGTAGGGTTAGGGATATGGTTACAGTGGGATTAAGGGTAGGGTTAGGGTTAGGTTAGGCATAGGGTTAGGGTAGGGTTAGGGTTGGTTTAGCAGTGGGGTTAGGGGTAGGTATAGGGTATGATTAGGGTTAGGAGTAAGGTTAGAGGTAGGGTTAGGGTAGGGTTAGGGGTAGGGTTAGGTTAGGGGTAGGGTAGATTTAGGCGTAGCATTATGGTAGGTTTAGGATAGGGTTAGGGGCAGGGTTAGGATAAGGTTAGGGGTAGGTTAGGATAGGGTTAGGGGAAGGGGTAGGGTTAGAGGTAGGGTTAGGGGTTGGGAAGGGTTAAGGGTAGGGATAAGGGTAGGGTTAAGGGTAGGGGTACTGCTAGGTTAGGGGTAGGGTAAAGGTATAGTTAGTTTAGGAGTAGGGGTAGGGTTAGAGGTAGGGTAAGGGATATGATAGGGTAGGGGTAGGGTAATGGGTAGGGATATGCTAGGGTTAGGGTTAGGGGCAGAGTTAAGTTAGGAGCAGGGTTAGGAGTAGGGTTATGGTAGGGTTAGGGTTAGGAGTATGTTTATTGTTAGGGTAGAGTTAGGGTTAGGGTAGGGTAGGGTTAGAGTAAGGTTAGGGTAGGGTTAGGGGGAGGGTTATGGTAGGGTCAGAGTTGGTTTAGGGGTAGGGCTAGGATAGGGTTAGGGTTAGGGATAGGGTTAGGGTAGGGATAAGGGTAGGGGAACTGTTATGTAAGGGGTAGGGTTAGGGTAGTGTTAGTTTAGGAGTAGGGGTAGGGTTAGGGTAGGTTTAGAGGTAGGTTTAGGGGTAGGGTGAGGGTAGAGATAGGGTAAGGTTAGGGTTATGGGTAAGGTTATGGTAGGGTTAGGGTAAGGGGTAGGGTTGGGTTAGGAGCAGGGTTAGAGTTAGGAGTAGGGTTATGGCAGGGTTAGAGTTAGGGGTAAGTTTAGAGTTAGGGTAGGTTTAGGGGTAGGGAAGGGTTATGAGTATGGTTAGGGTTAGGGGAGGGTTAGGAATAGGGTTAGGGTTACCCTACCCTAACCTACCCCTAACCCTACTCCAATCACTAACCCTAACCCTACTCCAATCTCTAACCCTAACCCTACTCCAACCCCTAACCCTACCCCAATCACTAGCCCTACCCCAACCCTTATCCCTACCCCTATCTCTACCCCAACAACTAACCGTAACCTCTTGTTTTGCCACTTTTGAGAAATTCGAAGCACTTCGGCACTTCCGAAATTCGGCACTTCTGCAATTCTGTTCGGTTCGGCATTCCGAAATTCAGTTTTTCGGCACTTTGGAAATTCAGAAATTCGGTAATTCGGTTCAGCATTCTAAAATTCATCACTTCGTAAATTCTGCAATTCAGCACTTCGGCACTTCCGGCATTCGGAAGCATCTGAATGTCCGAATTTCCGAAATTCGTCTGAATTTGCATTCGGAACAAAACAAATTGCACATGTCTACTGTGTTCTGCTTTGTGAGCCTTTAACACCAAGCTCACCTTTAATTAATGTAAGGGTGTTCATTTTTCTATTTATTATTTATTTTTCCATTTAGGGTATAAAAACTGTGCTGTGCTTTTTTACATTTGTTTAAAGCAGGGGTAGACAATCTTTTTTCACATAAGGGCCGGATGCCATGTCTGTGTATGGATGGGGGGATGCATTCATCAATATAGCCAAATATATAAAAATATGAATGATGATAATAGAAGTAAAAATAGAGGTAATAACAATGAATATAGCTGTGGTTCCCAACCCAGTCCTCAATTATCCTCTAACAGTGCAAGATTTACCCCTTGAATAGAGGAAAGGAGCCAATTTCTTAGTTTGGATCTTTGAGCAGTGTAATAGGCGCCCCCTAATATTTTTTACTTTTGTGCAATTGCCATATATACAGATATCACATTAGAGAGCTCTCTATTAAATAGCTGGAAGATCAAAATAAGGATAAGACCTTTAATTGTTCATGTGCCCCTTCCTTTCCTCATTCACATCATAACTGTTCTTACCTTGTCCTTTTCTCTTCTCATCCATGTAACCTAGAATTTTTGAATATATACAATTTGTCCATATCACAATGGATCAAACTGTTTTTTTCCAACAGTTATTTTTTTAAATATTTCAAACAAAGCCATACAAACAAACATACACACATAAGCAGACATTCATGCAGACACATATTGTAACGGATCACCTGGCATCCCGACTGGGATCCTCCATTGAAGGATGCTCCTATCGCTTCCTGAGGGCTCCAAGTACTCCACCAGAGACCATAACCAACACAGACCCCACAAACCGCCGCAGCTTGGTTGGGGTCTCGCCGTCTCTTACCCATCCTGGACCTACGATGTGATAGAATTTATCTTGATTCCAAGGCTCAAGCTTATAGGTGTCATATAATGATATCCTATATTAAAATTGGCTAACTTGGACTCAGGAAATGCTTGATGCTTAAACAACACTTAAGACCATATATGTCTAAGTTCCGGGAGCAGAGAGCCCCCACCTAAGATGTCTCTGCTCTAATCATTTTGTTCTCTCATACCTTGAAACTTATTTGTTATGGGTACATGACGCTCATCCCTATGTCTTATCTGTATTCTCTTCCTATTACTGTTCTAAGAGTATTTGCACGTAAGCACTTACTTTTTAATGTATAAAACCCAGCTGATGAATAAAACGTCAGAGGCTTATTTTGAATACCAACAGGTGTCTGGTGTCTAATTCTCGCTTCTCCAAGTGCACTTGTAACAACAATTTGGGCTTCCTCTGAATATAACAAAGATCAACATTTCTGATCCACAACAATTTGGTGCCGAAACCCGGGATCTGACGGTCGAGAGACTCGGACACTAGCGTACAGGTGGACGTCCCTCTGACAGTGAAATCAGCTGTACAGGAAGGTAAGAAAAACTTTTTTCTACCTTTATCAATTTCGCTCTCAGATCCACGTCCTACTAGTCTGTCTGGGTAAAGAACGACTTAAAAACGTCTGATCTAAAGAACTTGTTTTCTGTGGTATTATGGTTATATTCAGTTGGAGGTTGTGTTATGTCTTGTGAAAGGAATCTTGAGATAGTGGAATATAACTGTGGGTTGTAAGTTATTTTTATTGTTTGCCTTGTCATTTGTTTTATAATTTGAGTTAGAATCCTCCAAGGGCAGATCTCCTGATCTGTGTTTAGAAGACAAAAACTGTGAAAATTCCACTGCAGCGGTCCTAAGTGTTTAAATACACTGTTTTTGTACAGTTTGTCTTGTGTAAGGAAGTAATTAACCCTTACAAGTTTTAAGATGGGTAGCTCTGAAAGTACCCAAGGGGGATTTACGGCTTTGACTATTGTCAAGCATCACAAAGGACAAGGAGCAATTAAGAATGTTAAGAGGTTACTTAAGAAAGCTGGCATGCCCTCAGAAGGCACTCTAGACCCACATATATGGAGTGAATTTATGGCAAATTACAGAGGTTGGTTAGAAGATAATGACTTAGTAGAAGTCGCACAAAAATGGCATGATACTGCTGTTGAATTAACTAAATGTGGTTGTAGAGAAACCACCAGGAAAGGTGTACCATATTATCAATGTTTTGGACCTCTAGGGTCCCAGAGTAGGCAAGATCCTGGGAAAAATCTTGTAAACCCACCCTTTTACCAGGATACTGCAGGGACTCCTTTGGTCCCAAAAGACAAGGCGATTTCCCTTTTACAGAGATCAAAACCTCTCTTTCCAGTAATATTACGCAGTGGGACTTCATATAGTGTCCCAGTAAGACCTATGGGTTCATTAGAGCAGGAAGGTAGTCCAGACTTAAAGGAACCCCTAGTTGCCCCCACAGATACCCCAGTGGGGCCATTAGCTCCACAATTTTCTACTCCCATGATACCCAAAGTTGAGAGTGTATACCATGAGCACAGACAGCCGAGCTCAGGTATGCAATACTGGGAAGAATATAAGCCCTGGACACCCAGTGAACAACTGGCAATAATACAGCAGCTGCAAGATGTTGAAAAGGCCCCCTTAGCTCTAGTCCAGTCTCTATCCACAATTCAAGCTACTTACCAGTGTACTTGGATGGATTTAAAACAGATTGTGGCACTAAAAGCTGGTCCCATTTTGGCTAGAATAATTGCTAAATATACAGATGCCCATGAAGATAACCTCAGAAAAAGCAACATGCAAACAGATGAATGGTTTAGAACCAAGTCTGCATCTGGAGCATGCTATGTCACTGCAATGAGAGAATGGGCTAAGGTAAAGACAGAGGAACTAGCCCATAAATTAGGAGACATACTACAAGGGAAAGATGAATCTGTAGAAACATTCTTCACCAGACTACAAATGGCTTGGGAGGCATTGGGTTACACTGATGTTGTAACCACTTCGACCAGACTGCTTATTAACTGCTTCATGGATGGTATCCACATACCCATAAGGACTGGTCTCCAAAATGCTAGACCTGAGTGGAGAAGTTTAACCTATGGTGATCTGGTGAAGGTGGCTAGGGGAGTGGAAGCTAATCTAAATACTAGAAAGAGGAGCACACCTCTAATGGCTGTAACTGTCCCTAGAGCTGATGGGGACAGAAGGCAGGTAGACTGCTGGAATTGTGGCAGGAAAGGACACATTAAACGTAACTGCAGGTGTCCTCCTAAAAATAGAAAACCCCAAGATTCTAATGATAACTCCCATGACAGCCAACCACCACCACCACCACCTCCCCCCCCCCAATAGGAAATTGGCAAACCAGTGTCCCTACATATCATCAATATCCCTGACTCTGCAGGACCCTCACCCATTATCAACGTTACACTGCCTGGGGACCGAATAGTCCCTTTCCTGTTGGACACTGGCGCTGCTAAATCAATGTTACAGGAAAAATATGTATTCCCGTATGAGAAATCTAATGATGTATTATCATGTGTAGGGGTAGATGGTATTGAAAATGACATTCCCCTGACCCACAAGTTGAAATTGAAGCTACATGACTCTACTGCCCTTGTAACAAGGCTACTTGTCAGCCCTCATGCCCCTGCTAATCTACTAGGCAGTGATATACTGTCTGCTCTTGCAAATATCCAGTATAGCCCCACTGGAAAAGTAACATTGTCTGTGCCTTTAGAGGACAAACAAATGATATCTCTTTCAAATGTTCTGGCAACTCTCACTATGCCCAGCCATGTGCCAGAACCTACCATTGACTTGTCCTCAGTCCCTGATTCCTTATGGGCTACAGGGAAGACAGATACAGGCAGACTCTCTGTGCCCCCAGTCAAAGTGAATCTCCTGCCCGGAGCCAAACCTCCCTATCAAAAACAATACCCCCTAAGCCCAGCACAGGAAGATGCTATTTCGCAATCTGTGCAAGAGTTTCTGCAGGCAGGGGTAGTTGTCCAGACCACCTCCCCTTGTAACACACCATTGTACCCAATTAAGAAAAAGCAAGAGAAAGGGAAACCTGTGGTCTACCGTATGGTACATGATTTGAGGGCAATTAATGCTGTAACTGAACTCATTGCCCCTAATGTTCCCAACCCACACACCTTGTTGGCACAAATACCACCTTCCTCTAAGGTATTTACTGTTATTGACTTGGCAAATGCATTTTTCAGTGTCCCTCTGGCTCCCGACAGTCAGTTTTTATTTGCATTTACACATAAACACAAGCAGTACACATGGACAGTATTGCCACAGGGTGCACAAAACTCACCCACTATGTACAGCATGGCTATGGCACAGATTCTTGAAGAATGGCAAAGGCCAAATAACGTAATTTTATTGCAGTATATCGATGACCTACTCCTATGTTGCGATAGTATGGAATCTTGTATTGTAAACACTCTTTCCTTACTAAAATTCCTAGAAAAAGCAGGCTGTAAAGCAACAAAAACGAAACTGCAAGCATGTGTAGAGAAAGTTATTTTCCTAGTACATTGCATTTCCCAGGGCATAAAACATCTCACGGAAAGTAGAAAAACTGCAGTTCAAAATATTAGACCCCCCCGCAGTTTAGCCCAGGTTCGTACTTTCCTCGGTTTGATTTCTTACTGCCGCCCTTGGCTGCGTTCCGTAGCTATCTACATGCAACCACTGTATGATTGTCTTGCCAACGAAAACAAACCATTTAAATTAACCCATGCG